TTATATAGGCAATATAAACAGCCATTTGAAATCATTTGCAACAATAGTATGGTTTCAAGTCAGGAAAACCATTTAGATGATAGTAGAGAAGTCCAGAGCTTTGTTTTAGGCATAAAACTGATAGACTGTGCTTCTTGTTGATCAGACCAATTCCAAAAAGACATTTATCATTCTTCAAAATGTTATACAGTCCAGTGACCCCTCAACTCAATAGATTAATGAAGGAAGTAGGATGCCTTTTAAAGCCAAATGTCTATTCAACTCAAATTGTAATGCTTTTCCATGATCATAACAATAGACAATTCTGGACTGACTTAAATCTGAAAATAAATTTACCCAGTGGACTGCAACAATAGCTAACAATTCTGGGGTTAAACTTTACCCATTAGATCCAGAATTGTACACAAACAATTCTGATTTAATAGACTTTGTCCATTTAATTGGAAATTAATTTACCCAGCAGACCATAACAATAATGGATAATTCTGGATTCAACAGATCAAGTCGGCTGTTTCCAGATGTTGTCAGGCTACAGATTTCGTCCGTTAAAGCCATAAACATTTAAATAGAGGTTTTATTAGATTGGAAAAACATCATTTGCTTTATAAAAATGTGCTTTATGAACTTTTCTTTTTTTGAAAAAGTGATCCATTCTTTGATGATTTTCTGTACAGCTGGAATGAAGCAAAAAGTAAAATACAGTGGAATCTCAAAAATCGAACTGCTCCCAACACAACCAATTATGTAAGTGTATTTTTGTAAGTGCTTTTATAAGTGTATTTTTGAGGGTCTGAAATGGACTAACCTAATTTACATTATTCCTCATGGGAATAAATTCATTTGGTAAAGGCACTCGAACAACCTTCTGGACCAAAGAAAGTTCGATATTTGAGGTTCCACTGTAATGAAATTAAGAAACAGTCATGTGTAAAGAAATTGCAGACTCTCACCTCTCTCTCATATAGTGTTACGATAGACATGTAGAGTGCACATTGTCTTACGCAGAATAATAGTACAGTATATAAAACAGAAAACACAATAATGAGAGAGAATCATTCGAGAGGTGCTATATAAGGATGAATCCTCATTCAGCCCCTCTCAGAATTACCTCTTTTCATTTCTATGTGCTCTGTTTTATATATAGTGCTATTATTCCACATCAAACAGTATCACATCACATTGCTAAGATTACATATTGGTATGCATCAAATAATGAAATGTACTGAGGAAGTTTATTTAAACTCACATTATGAGAAAACATTATCCACATGCATTAAATGCATGTGAAGACTACATAAATACTAAAGTATCATTCAGAAAGTGTTATTGAAGACTAATCTACACATTTTTCTTAGAACAAGGCAAGTGGATGACTGGGCAGAAGGACCATTCACAACACTGAGGAAAGCTGACATGTTTGAAGGTTAACACAGTTGCATCATAGTGAATAAGGTAGCTTCATAAAGAGTCAAATCATGTTAAATACTGTTACATGGTGTCAAATCTAGATTACAACTGCCATAAAGCCATTTTTTTAAGAGTACTATGGATTACAAATACATACATTGTTAATGTAGTGCATAAGCTCACTGTGTCTACATTACTCTATCCCGTGTTTAGGAATACAATGCAGCATTGAGGTTTCTCTCACATTAAATCTCCAGCAAAAGCTAGTGTCAATGCACATTCTCATATCCATCTTGGTTACCCAGGTGATTTCCTATCTGTTTGTTGCCAGATAAAATACTTTACTAGAAGTGTTATCTGTCAGCAGGACAATCAAGCATTGAGGACTTTTTACCCCCTTTTCTGCATCTGATAAGGCAGCACAGAAATGTGCAAAGTGAATGTTTCTGGTACATGCTGATATTCTTTAAAGGAATTCATAGCTGTAAATCCTAAATAACCCAAGAGGAAATCTACAAGGAATTTTTTCTTTTTCACCTTTGTACTTATAATCTTAAGAGAGTTAAAAAAGATCACGAAAGGGAAGTCATATTCACATGGTCCTCCGAGAAAATGAATACAAATACAGTATCCAATTTCTGAAGATAGTCATTGACAAAGTAGCCATGTAGGAAATGGGCCTCCTTCCTAGTAAATGCCCCAAAATGCTTCAAGCTTTAGATTGAGACAATATCTATGAAATTTATCCTGAAGAATGTACTTCTACTTGCACCACAATAGAACAAAAAGCAGCCTCTTTATAAGTTTCTTTTACTGAGGGATAAAGAATGTAAAGTCAGGAGTTACTTAATGAGCAAGACTTCCTCATCAACCAGTCAGTATAGTATATCATTTATAATATAATACAGGAATTCCTTTAGGAAGAATGCCAGTGTATATCAAAAATATTCACTTAAGTTTATAAACAATTATGTCACGGTATGCAGAGAAAAAGCCCCACAAAACCTCTACGACACCACAAAACATTGCAAACGCAACAAAGTATCTTGGCCTACTGGCAAACTACCACCATCTCCAGCATGCTCATATCAAGAAGTACCAAAGCCAAAGTGACTTCAAAAATTACCAACAAATAGTGTAAAATAAAGACATCAATTTTTTTCAATTTGCATTCATATGAAAATGTACTTTTAATATTGGCTGCTATCCATAAAAGGAAAGGCTTCCCATCATTCAGTCAACAGCTGAATTGCAAGAACAATGTAGATATTACAATTCAAATGTCCCTCTGATCTGTAACATCTTCCTTCTCCTTAACCCTTTCAGGGTCAAGAGGCCCTCTCCTAAACTTGTTCTCAGGGGCAAAAATTTTTCGGAAAATAATTTTTTTTTTTCTTATGAAAAGATAGAAAATCTTTTCCTGGTCATAATGACACCAAAGGTATGAAATTTGATGGAAAACTTACAGAATTATGCTCTTGCGAAGTTGGCGGTCTCGACGATGTTTACGCATCAGCGATTTCGCTCACTTTGAGCCCTATTTTCGGCCAATTCCAGTGTACTAGTCGACAAAAATCATAACTTTCACTAGAACTCCATTTTTTCTATTGAATGAGTACAGGAAGCCACCCATTTACCAATTTCAACTATCCAATAAAGTGGTCAGAAATTAGCAAGTTTGCCAATTTCACACAAATTTCAAAAGATACCAATTTCCAAATAGGGTCCAGAATAAACAAGACAGACATTCCTGGCTCTAAAATAACATTTCTTTTGTTCATTAGTCACGTCCCCAGGCCCCTCTTACATTTCTTTAGCTTTTCACTTTGAATTTTTATTCTCACAAAAAATAGAAGATTTACTGTTATGCAGACTACTGCATTAGTGTAGAAATGGTATAAATCATATCAGCGCACTTGTGAAAGAATATCAGACTGACCAGTTGATGTGTAATAGACGCTTGGCATGATTTGTTTACTTTTGAACTTTGGCAAAAATCGAACATTTCTGCTACTTTGAGCTCAATTTCAAGGTACTTTTCATTGTGAAACCAATCAAAATCATCTTAATTTCTATAATATGTCTTCCATTCTATAAAATGAGACCAGAAAAACTAGAATACAACCATAAATACCATACGAAAATACAGTGCAAAGTCGCTGTTTTAAACCAAAAAACACGGTCAAAGTTTTTTTTTTCTCATTACGCACTGATGCTGCAGGATTTTTTTATACTGTGCACACTGACCCCATAGACCCATTCTTTCATATGTAGGTCTACCAGCTTTCTCTCACTAGATTTGAAGGCGCTAGAATTTAGGTGTACTAGTACGTTAATAACCCTGGTGCGTAAGCTGTACTAGTACGTCGGAAACCCTGAAAGGGTTAAACACCAAACCCTATTCTATGGTATATATTAAAATTCCTTGCACAATATTCACATAACACTGTTTTCATGTCATCCCTCATACCTTCTCAACACAACATTTAAAAATCTATGACTCGTATATAAAAAGACTGATATCACCACATTACTCTAGTACTTTTTTTTTTTTTTGCCTCTATAAATAAACTTTGTTCCTTCATCTATTCTATGGTTCACATTGTTACTCAGACCCAAACATCTAAATACACTCACCTCCTTCATACTCCTTCCAATCAAATGCACAATTTTCTTTTACCTAAACATTTTGTTACTCTCACCATCTTGATCATTTTTGTGTTCATTTTAATTTTCTTCATTCACATACCATCCCAAACTCATCCATCAATCTTCACAACTTCTCTTCATTATTTCCCAAAAGAAGTCATCAGCAATGACCAACTTTGACAATTCCCTCCATGAATCAGATTCATTATCTTTTAATGCCACATCTCTCCTCAGCATTTACTTCCTTTACAACTAATTTATAGATAGATTAAACAACCATGGTGACATTATGCATCCCTGCTTAAGGCCTACTTTTACTGGAAAACGATCCTGTTGTTTCCTTGGCTAAGTTATATCCAAGATGTTATGCATTCTTTGGACCTTCAGTTTATTGTACGTATTGAATATTATATTAATATCTGCATTTGTAATCGACCAAATTAATAACTTCCAGAAATGTTATAGTGAATTGTCTCGTTAAAACTTTCATCAAGTTCTTCTTGCAAAACTTCCACTATAAGTTATATGTTACATGTCGTTCCAAGTTAATTTAAAGCTGCCCAAAATGATCTGCATAACCAGAGGATTTCAATAAAGTATGTCAACAATATCATGTTTGTTGTACCAATTGTAAACCATTCTTTATAGAAATAAATTTTATTTTTATATTTTATATATTAAAACCTGTGCCTCGATTTACTCAAACTCTCTTAATATATTTCTACTGTACCAATTCCATACAGGTGAAGCATCTACCACATCACTCCCTTATCCACTATCACATGCCTTCTAAATTTTTTTTTTTAATTTTTAAATATCAAAAACAGTTCCTTATTAAAAAGTACTGTACGTATTTTCCACTTGTATGCCTCTAAGTAAACATTTTTCTACACATCTCCTACCCTTTGTGACAGCTTTAAAAACTGACTGGATGCTATGCTTACCAGGAGGGGCTACTGCAGACAGCTGTTTTGCTTTTGCTTGAGCTCTTTTAAGTGCCTCCTTGAACCAATCAGGCTGTTCTTCTTTCCTTCCCTGATTTGAACTCTCTTCCTGAAAAAAATACAAAATTTTAAAATGTTAAAATAGCTTGGTTCAAATCTTCCCCAAGACAGTCATGTCATGCTGATAATCACTAATAAAACAATGAAAACATTTCTACTACTTTTTTTCAATTTAAATTTTATATATGTATTACAAAGTATTTAGATAAAGGTAGGGAAGTTTTTATTGCATTTATGGATTTAGAAAAGGCATATGATAGAGTGGACAGAAGAGCAATGTGGCAGATGTTGCAAGTATATGGAATAGGTGGTAAGTTATTAAATGCTGTAAAGAGTTTTTATGAGGATAGTGAGGCTCAGGTTAGGGTGTGTAGAAGAGAGGGAGACTACTTCCCGGTAAAAGTAGGTCTTAGACAGGGATGTGTAATGTCACCATGGTTGTTTAATATATTTATAGATGGGGTTGTAAAGGAAGTAAATGCTAGGGTGTTCGGGAGAGGGGTGGGATTAAATTTTGGGGAATCAAATTCAAAATGGGAATTGACACAGTTACTTTTTGCTGATGATACTGTGCTTATGGGAGATTCTAAAGAAAAATTGCAAAGGTTAGTGGATGAGTTTGGGAATGTGTGTAAAGGTAGAAAGTTGAAAGTGAACATAGAAAAGAGTAAGGTGATGAGGGTGTCAAATGATTTAGATAAAGAAAAATTGGATATCAAATTGGGGAGGAGGAGTATGGAAGAAGTGAATGTTTTCAGATACTTGGGAGTTGACGTGTCGGCGGATGGATTTATGAAGGATGAGGTTAATCATAGAATTGATGAGGGAAAAAAGGGAGTGGTGCGTTGAGGTATATGTGGAGTCAAAAAACGTTATCTATGGAGGCAAAGAAGGGAATGTATGAAAGTATAGTAGTACCAACACTCTTATATGGGTGTGAAGCTTGGGTGGTAAATGCAGCAGCGAGGAGACAGTTGGAGGCAGTGGAGATGTCCTGTTTAAGGGCAATGTGTGGTGTAAATATTATGCAGAAAATTCGGAGTGTGGAAATTAGGAGAAGGTGTGGAGTTAATAAAAGTATTAGTCAGAGGGCAGAAGAGGGGTTGTTGAGGTGGTTTGGTCATTTAGAGAGAATGGATCAAAGTAGAATGACATGGAAAGTATATAAATCTATAGGGGAAGGAAGGCAGGGTAGGGGTGTCCTCGAAAGGGTTGGAGAGAGGGGGTAAAGGAGGTTTTGTGGGCAAGGGGCTTGGACTTCCAGCAAGCGTGCGTGAGCGTGTTAGATAGGAGTGAATGGAGACGAATGGTACTTGGGACCTGACGATCTGTTGGAGTGTGAGCAGGATAATATTTAGTGAAGGGATTCAGGGAAACCGGTTATTTTCATATAGTCGGACTTGAGTCCTGGAAATGGGAAGTACAATGCCTGCACTTTAAAGGAGGGGTTTGGGATATTGGCAGTTTGGAGGGATATGTTGTGTGTCTTTATATGTGTATGCTTCTGGACTGTTGTATTCTGAGCACCTCTGCAAAAACAGTGATAATGTGCGAGTGTGGTGAAAGTGTTGAATGATGATGAAAGTATTTTCTTTTTGGGGATTTTCTTTCTTTTTTTTTTTGGGTCACCCTGCCTCGGTGGGAAACGGCCGACTTGTTGAAAAAAAAAAAAAAAAATTACAAAGCAAGACATTAGGTACAGTACTGTATTTTTTTTTTTAATTCAGTGACTGTTTCTTACTATGTATACAAAAAACAAGTAATCCTTAAATTTTAAATTACTGTACACTGTTTCCCACCCATATATACAAAAAAGAGTATATAATTCTTAAATTTTAAATTACTGTACTTACTTTAAATTCAAATTCTGTCTTAACCTTTTCAACATCTAGACTGGAGAAGGACGTGTAATCTTGTCCCTGTAACACTGAATGGGCAGGATTCAAGGTTCTTGGTGGAGGAATTTGGTTAAAGGCTTTCAGTTTGTTTGTAACTGGTCGTGAGGATTTGCACTTGTCTGTAGAGTATGGAGTCTCCACTTTTACATCTGAAAGACACATAATCATAAGAAATCTCAACAGAAATGCAATGTGTGCAAAAAGAGAAAACATAAAAACAAGTACAGGTCCGCCATCACAAATCCGGCAATCAGTTATTCGGTTCCTTCAGTTATTCGGCACTAATTTTGGCTAGCATAATTTCAAATTTCCAGGGTCGCCACACCAACCTGCTGGTACTGTTTGGTGGCGCTACTTGCTGCATAAGTCATTCCAATTTCTTTTTCTCCATTTATTGTTTTAACCTGCTTACTTTTAGCCCTAGCCATGGTTCCAATGAATAAAAGAAATGCTTCTCATTGTGTAAAGCACCTACACAGTACATTATCCATTAAAGATAAGGTGGCTTTGAAGCCACCGTCGGTTGCCGTGAGCTCAGTCTCATAATGCAGGAGAATATGCTTTATTATTACGCTAATATCAACACTACAGCTTATTTGCCTATCAAAATTAATCTAATATGACATAATAAACAATATAAATAACATAAAACATGTTAAATACTCCAGAATAAATAATATTTGGCATAATACCAAGCAGTTCGACGGAGGAATGAAGAGGATATGGTATACAAATACCATTCTCCTATCCCTGTCTTAGGGCTTATATTAGAGAAAACAGAGTATAGCACAGGGCTAACTGTAACTGAAACCATAAACCTGAAACAAAAAAAGTTATTTTCTCTATATAGATTATCACACACACAGCAGCATATGTGTAGAGAACCTAGGATAACCCAAAAAAGTCAACGTGGCTTATTTCTAGTACCTGGTTTGGGTTAGCCATATATGATTTTTGGTAAATATTCGATTCCCAGCCAGGGTAGAAACATTAGGCGTGTTTCTTTACACCTGTTGTCTATGTTTACCCATCAGTAAATGGGTACCTGGGTGTTAGCCGACTAGTGTGGGTGTTATCCTGGGACACTGACCTAATTTTCTTGAAATACTCGGCATAACAAGCGGCTTTCTATATACTGTACTAGTAGTATGTCACTGATGTCAGCCGTGTCTGTATCCCATGTACATGTATGTGTAGTAAATAAAGATATTATTATTATTATTATTATTATATTTTTTCTCAGTTGTTTGTTGGCTTATCTTATTGAAGTATGGGCAATGTATGATGGAAAGATACTTCTTAACATACACCAAAAATAAAGAAATCAGACCGTAAATAGCGGAGTTCACTTCTCAGCCATTAGCGGCCGCTTAGTGGTATATTTTTGTATGGTTTTTATGGTTATATTCTCATTTTTTCGGTCTCATTTCATAGAATGAAAGATACATTACAGAAATAGATAAGATTTTGATTGCTTTCATAATGAAAAGTACCTTGAAATTACGCTCACAGTAGCGAAAATGTTCTATTCTTTAGCAAAGCTCAAGAGTAAACAAATGACGTCACCGTCCAATACCTGTCCGCCTGCCAGTCCAAATTCCAATACGGCGTCAAGAATAGGTTGATATTATTTACACAATTATTACAATAATGTAGCAGTCTGCATAACAGTAAATCTTCTATTTTTTTGTGAATAAAAATTCCAAATGGTAAGCAACAGAAATATAGAGGGGCCTGTAGCCGTGACTAATGAACAGAGAAAATGTTATTTTTGGGCCAGGAATGTCTGCATTGTTTATTCTGAGCCCTATTTTGAAACTGGCATCTGTTGAAATTTGTGTGAAATCGGCCAAATTGCCAATTTCTGACCACTTTATTGGGTAGCTGAAATAAGTGAATGGGGGGCTTCTTGTACTCAGTTGACAGACTAGAAGTAAATGAGTTTATTCAGGTATACACAAATACAGTTACACAGAATATCATACATAGTAGCGTATGTATAGAGAACCAAGGATAACCCAGAAGTCAGACAAAGTGACTTATTACCAGTACCTGGCTTGGGCCTGCCATATATGATTTTTGGTAAATATTTTTTTTTTCTCGGTTGTTTGTTGGGCTGTCTCATTGAAACTTGGTCAATGTATGATGGAAAGATGCTTCTTAATGTACAACAAAAATAAAAAAGACGGACGATAAATAAGGGAGTTCACTTCTCAGCCATTAGCCGCCTCTTTTCAGTATATTTTTGTATGGTTTTTATGGTTGTATTCTCATTTTTTTTGGACTCATTTGATAGAATGGAAGATATATTACAGAAATAGACATGATTTTGATTGCTTTCATGATGAAAAGTACCTTGAAATTGAGCTCAAAGTAGCGGAAATGTTCGATTTTTGCCGATGTTCAATGAACTTTGTGCAAGTCAAGTTGGTTAATTTTATTAAGTGTATTCTAACCTAACCACTCTGTAATCCGGCAAACTCAGTAATCCGGCACACTACAGGTCCCAATGATGCCAGGAGAGAAAAAAGACAAGTTAGGGACTTATGCTTACTCTTAACTATCTTACTGACAACTAGTTAGGAAAATCTATGCACATGACTCCTCTATAGACTTGAGTGCTCAATAAGAACATAAGAAAGAAGGAACACTGCAACAGGCATACTGACCCATGCAGAGCAGGTCCATAGTCCAATCCTTGATTATTCACTATACATTTCTGCTTCCTAATTTCACTTTTCTTCACTTTTTTTTTAATGTTCTTAACCCTTAAACTGTCCACACGTAGATATACGTTCATGTGCAGTGGGCCCCAAACGTAGAGCAACGTTTTATCTGTCATTCCTTCAAATTTGGTACGATAGGCCAGAGTCGCCTAGACATGAAAGAATGGGTCTGTGCACTCGGTGTGCGCACTATGAAAAAAATCTGGGGTCACTTAGTACCTTGTGGGAGCACCCGTTCAACTGAACACCAGCTAGAGCAAATAGCATGGCAAACACCAGGGATTCACTGACGTCATGTCATATTAACACACACACACACACACACTTTAAAAGGAAAATAAAAATAGGTTAGATAAATGCATGAGTGGGTGTGGGTGGGTGTGAGTTGGACCAGACTAGCTTGTGCTACTGGGTCAGATGTCGTGCTCCTTCTTTCAGTGGCTGTGACCTGACTAGGTGGATCATTGGTCTAAGCTGGGGGGGGGGGGTGACATGGACTTAGTCTTACATGGGCCAGTAGGCCTGCTGCAGCGTTCCTTCTTTCTTATGTTCTTATGTATTCGGCAGGCTGTCCGGCTGGCTTGCTTTGGCTGTCTCTGGCTATGTCTACATCTCTCTCTCTCTTATATTATATATATATATATTTATATATATATATATATATATATATATATATATATATATATATATATATATATATATATATATATATATATATATATATATATATATATATATATATATATATATATATCTATCTCTATCTATATGTCTATACCTCGGTCTATCTGCATCTATCACCCTGTCTACATCTCTGTCTCACATGTACACATAAGTACAGTTATAGATTGTGTAAATAACCTAGGATAAACTAAAAATTCCAGGCAAAGATAGACAGACAGATAGATACACAGATAGACAGAAACACGTTTGTATCAGTGACAACAAATAAAGCCAGGGTTCCCCGAGCACCCATTTATCAAATGTCACCGAGCTGATAACAGATGTCATAACACAATTCTTCAAGGAGTGCAATATACATATACTCCAGGCAGACAAAGACATAAACAGAGACATACAAGCAAGCAGATAGACAGACAGGCAGATAAAGAAATAGGCAGAGACAGACATAGAGAGACATGTTTGTGTGTAACAGTGATAAATACAGCGAGGGTTAGCTGGAGCAGTGGGCATTTATCAAATGTCACTAGACTGTCAACAGTATAGGGATGCCTTTCATAACACCATGCTTCAAGGTATATGCCAGGGTATCTAAAACATTGCTGGGACCTATAAATACTTTGTATATATTTCTAGACAATAGTAAATAACCCAGGCAGGTGTAAATGTTCACCTGTCAATGTGATTGTGACTATTTGAGCACTATTTCAGTACCTAATATTAGTGTCAGAACAAAAACAGGCAATGAAATTACAGGAACTATTATAAATTGTAATTATCACAACATAAAAAATATATAAATTAAACGAGAAAAAAAGGTATATGGCAGCACTTCTGCAAGCTGCAGGAGTCGATGCTGCCGTAAGGTGAGCATCCAGAGCCAACTTCACGATCTTGTATCTCGATAAGTACTGACCCTAAATTTTTTTTTAATCCTACAACATGTAGAAAAATGTGCTCTTCATTTTAAAAGAAAAAAAAAAAAAAGTTTCTTTTTTTTTTATTTTTCAAAATATTTGGAGCACCACGCAAGTGAACGTAGATCTACATTTGGACAGTTTAACCCCTTGATTGTCGCAACCCCAAATTCTGAGGTGTCGCCTGGTGTAAAAAAAAAAAAAAAAATGAAATGATGGAATCTTTTCCCGATTGTAATTACACCAAAAGAACGAAATTTTATGGAAAATTGACGGAATTACGCTCTCACGAAGTTAGCGACCTCGGTGATATTTACGAATCAGCAATTTCGCCCACTTTGAGCCCTATTTTCGGCTAATTCCATTGTTCCAGTCGACCAAACTCATAGGTATTTCTTTAGAACTCCATTTTTTTTTCTATCGATTCAGTACAAGAAACTGCCCATTTACCGATTTCAACTACCCAATATCGTAGTCAGAAATTTGCAATTTCAGCAATTTCACGAAAATTAAAAAATATGACAATTTCAAAACAGGGTCCAGAATGAACAACGCAGACATTCCTGGCTCTAAAATAACATTTTCTTCGTTCATTAGTCACGTCTCCAGGCCCCTCTGATGTTACTCTTGCTTTCTATTTTGAATTTTTATTCAAACAAAAAATAGAAGATTTACAGTTATGCAGACTACTGCAATATTGTAATAATTGTATAAATAATGTCAACCACTTCATGACTGCATATTAGAATGGCTACTTGGACATTTATTGGAAAATGACATTTGTTTACTTTTGAACATCGGCAAAAATCAAACATTTCCCCTACTTTGAGCTCCATTTCCAGGTTCTTTTCATAATAAAACCAATCAAATCACTCTTTTTCTATAATATGTTTTCCATTCTATCAAATGAGACCAAGGAAACGAGAATACAACCATAAATACTATACGAAAATACACCTCAAAGTCAGCAATTAAAAAAAAAAAAAAAAAAAAAAAAAATTTCTCAGTATGCAGTGTGCTGCAGGATTTTTTTTATATGGTGTACACTGACCACACAGACCCATTCTCTCACATGTGGGCCTACCAGCTTCCTCCTGCTTGATTTGAAGCCACTAGAATTTATGAGTATACATACGTCAAAAACGGTGGCTCGTAAGACGTATATATACAACCAAAGCAGTCAAAGGGTTAAGGGCTAAACCACACAGAACATTGCCCTCTTTAATTTAAAAACAAAAAAAAATTTTTATTTTTCAAAATATTCAGAGTGCCACACAGGTGAACGTAGATGTATGGACAGTTTAACCCTTGGACTGCTGCAAGCCCCTTTCTGAAACTCATTCTGTCACAAAATTCTTGGGGAAAAAAAAATAAAATTATTTTTTCTTAGGAAATGATAGATAATCTTTTCCCGGTGGTAATGACACCAAAAGTATGAAATTTGCTTGAAAACTCATGGAATTACACTCCCGCAAAGTTAGTGGTCGCGGCGACATACGCATCGGCGATTTTGCCGACTTTGAGCCCTGTTTTTGGCCAATTCCGTTGTTCCGGTTGACCAAACTCATAGCTATTTCTTTAAAACTCCATTTTTTCTATCAGTCGAGTACAAGAAACCGTCCATTTACAGATTTGAACCACCCAATAAAGTGGTGAGAAATTGGCAATTTGGCCAATTTCACTCAAATTAAAAAAACATGCCAATTTCAAAATAGGGTCCAGAATAAACAATGTAGACATTCTTGGCATTAAAATAACATATCCCCTGTTCATTAGTCACATCTCTAGGTCCCTCTTTATTACTATTGCTTTCTATTTTGATTTTTTATTCATACAAAAAATACAAAATTTACTGTTATGCAGACTACTGCATTATTGTAAAAATAGTATAAATAATATCAGTGTACTAGTGAAAGAATATTAGACTCCCCAGTCGACGTGTATTGGACGTGTGGTGTGATTTGCTTACTCCTAAACATTGGTAAAAATCGAACATTTCCGCTACTTTGAGCTCAATTTCAAGGCAGTTTTCATCGTGAAACTAATCAAATCATCTCTATTTCTGTAACATGTTTTCCATTTTATCACACGAGACCATGAAAACGAGAATACAACGATAAATACTATACAAAAATACACCACAAAGTCAACGTTTTAACCCCAAAAAATGGTCAGTTTTTTTTTTCTCATTATGCACTGCATGCTGCAGGATTTTTTTTATGTGGTGCACACTGACCACACAGATCTATTCTCTCACATGTGGGCCTACCAGCTTTCTCCTGCTTGATTTGAAGCCGCTAGAATTATTGAGTATATATACGTCCGAAACACTGGCTCATAAGACGAATATATACGACCAAAATAGTCAAAGGGTTAAGGGTTAATACTTGTGCTCACTGATAGGTTAAAAACAAAACTCACTATATAACTCATTCAGTATAGTATTTTTCCCATATGATAAAAGCTTTGTTGATGATACTTTGTAATTATAATTTTAATGAACCCAAGTGCTGTACATTATAATAGTACAAATAATTATGTATTAACATTAGCTATGCTTGTGATGTAGCAATGTCCGAATATTATTCAGGTATTGCATGAAAATACAAATATTTTTAGGTAAAGACAACTGATTAACCCTTTCAGGGTTTCTGACGTACTAGTACAGCTTGTGCACCAGGGTTACTGACATACTAAAATGCCTAAATTCTAGCGCCTTCAAATCTAGCGAGAGAAAGTTGGTAGGCCTACACATGAAAGAATAGGTTTATGTGGTCAGTGTGCGCAGCATAAAAAAAATCATGCAGCACACACACGGCGTAATGAGAAAAAAAAAACTGACCGTGTTTTTGGATTAACCCTCTCAGGGTCCCCAGGCCCTCTCCGAGACTTCTCAGGGTCCCCAAATTTAAAAAAAAAAATTATTTTTCCTTATGGAAAGATAGAGAATCTTTTCCCTATGAAATTTGATGGAAAACTTACGGAATTATGCTCTCGCAAAGTTAGCGGTCTCGACGATTTTGCCCACTTTGAGCCCTATTTTTGGCCAATTCCAGTGTACTAGTCGACAAAAATCATAACCATTTCACTAGAACTCCATTTTTTCTATTGAACGAGTACAAGAAACCACCCATTTAGCGATTTTGCCAATTTCACACAAATTTCAATAGATGCCAATTTCCAAATAGGGTCCAGAATAAACAAGAAAGACATTCCTCGCACTAAAATAACAAGTTCTCTATTCGTTAGTCATATCCCCAGGCCCCTCTTATATTTCTTTGGCTTTCCACTTTGAATTTTTATTCTCTCAAAAAATAGAAGATTTACTGTTATGCAGACTACTGCATTAGTGTAGAAATGGTATAAATAATATCAGCGCACTTGTGAAAGAATATTAGACTCACCAGTTGACGTGTATTGGACGCTTGGCATGATTTGTTTACTTTTGAACTTTGGTAAAAATCGAACATTTCTACTACTTTGAGCTCAATTTCACGCTACTTTTCATTGTAAAATCAGTCAAAATCAACTCAATTTCTGTAATATGTCTTCCATTCTATGAAATGAGTCCAGGAAAACTAGAATACAACAATAAATATCATACAAAAATACACCTACCATCCGAATTATGACCTGCTCGACTTACGACTGTGTTTTTTATGCCAAATTTCTGGGAAATAAACAACTATTTGTGTTGTACACAGTGTTTAACCTAAACCTTACAGTATAAAATACAGTACTAACAGCATAAAAAGTAAAGTGAAACATGAAATACCAAATAAAACAATAAAATAAAGTCATTACAAAAATGTTTTGTTGATATTCAGTAGTAAAATTCGACTTACGACCATTTCGACTTACGACCTGTTTCTCGGAACCGAACTTGGTTGTAAGTCGGATGGTAGGTGTACAGTGCAAAGTCGGTGTTTTAATCCAAAAACACGGTCAAAGTTTTTTTTTTTCTCATCACGCACTGTGTGCTGCAGGATTTTTTTTTATACTGTGCATACTGACCACATAGACCCAGTTTTTCATATGTAGGCCTACCAGCCTTCTCTCACTAGATTTGAGAGCGCTAGAATTTAGGCATACTAGTACGTCAAAAACCCTGGGGCGTAAGCCGTACTAGTACAGCCGAAACCCTGAAAGGGTTAAAACAGCAACTTTGCACTGTATTTTTGTATGGTATTTATGGTTGTATTCTTGTTTTCCTGGTCTCATTTTATAGAATGGAAGAGATATTACAGAAATTGAGATGGTTTTGATTGGTTTTACAATGAAAAGGTCCTTGAAATTGAGCTCAAAATAGCAGAAATATTAGAATTTTACCAAAGTTGAAAAGTAAACAACCTCAAAATATTAACACCAATAATATCAAAGTATACAAAGGCACAATACCGTGACTGGAACAATACAAACAACCCACACATAAGAGAAAGAACCTTATGACAATGTTTCAGTCCAACTTGGACCATTAACTAGTATGTGACTAGGTAACAGTCACAAGTCAGACCAAATCATCACATATTTCTTTCTACCATGTGGTTTTTTTGTGTGTGTGTACCAATAATATCATGATTACCTGTTTGCTTTTCAGCCAACTTCTTGAACTGTTCAAAAAAGCTACCATCATTGCTAAATCTATTGGGCACCTGAGGCACTGCTGCTACACTGTGGAAGAACAGATGAAAAATTATAAAATCAATATCACAAAAATTATAAATACAAAAAACAAAATTAGTAAATAAAAATCCTAGCTATTCAACTGAGAGGATGTTATACATTTAAGGCATGAATAATTTCTACTTGCACACAAGACAAGACTGATTCTGAGGAATAATGACAATCATATAGGTATCAGTAGTGTTACTGTGTACTTGTGTAGTATAATTAGATAATTCCAACTACTTTATAGATAGGCTCCCTTGCTAGCTATGACATCATGAGATCCTCACACTTGAGTGGTAAGCCAGAGGCCCTGCTCTCAGTCACTGAATTCCACACTAGGCATAGACTAGACTACGCTATATACAAGTTTTGGATAAACATCTGCAACATAGGTTATTAATTTTTTTTTTCTTTATGAGGTGTATTTATTTTTCAGCACAGAAGTGCAAATGGTGTATGAAAACTATGAATATTTTTATACCCATGACTGGTTTCAAGGGCTTTTCTAGTCTCTTTGGCTGGCCAGGGACCAGTCTTCCTTGTTACCTGGAGGTTATTCCGGGGATCAACGCCCCCGCGGCCCAGTCCATGACCAGGCCTCCCGATGGATCAGGGCCTGATCAACTAGGCTGTTACTGCTGGCCGCACACAGTCCAACGTACGAGCCACAGCCCGGCTGATCCGGCACTGACTTTAGGTATCTGTCCAGCTCTCTTGAAGGCAGCCAGGGGTTTATTGGCAATTCCCCTAATGCTTGATGGGAGGCTGTTAAACAGTTTTGGGCCCCGGACACTTATGGTGTTTTCCCTTAGTGTACCAATGGCGCCCCTACTTTTTATTGGCGGCATTTTGCATCGCCTGCCCAGTCTTTTACTTTCGTAGGGAGTAATTTCTGTGTGTAGATTTGGGACCATTCCTTCCAAGATTTTCCAAGTGTAGATTATGATACATCTCTCCCTCCTGCGTTCCAACGAATACAAGTCAAGTGCTTCCAAGCGTTCTCAGTAGTTAAGGTGCTTGACAGAACTTATACGTGCAGTAAAGGATCTCTGTACACTCTCTAGATCTGCGATTTCACCTGCTTTGAATGGAGATGTTAATGTACAGCAGTATTCCAGCCTAGAGAGAACAAGTGATTTGAAAAGGATCATCATGGGCTTGGCATCTCTCGTTTTGAAAGTTCTCATTATCCATCCTATCATTTTCTTTGCACGTGCGATCGTGGCACTGTTGTGATCCTTGAAAGTGAGATCCTCAGACATTACTACTCCCAGGTCCCTTACATTAGTTTTCCGCTCTATTGTATGGCCGGAGTCAGTAGCATACTCTGTTCTAGTTATTATCTCCTCCAGTTTTCCATAACGGAGTACGTAGTTGGAATTTGTCCTCATTGAACATCATATTGTTTACCGTTGCCCATTGGAAAACTTTGTTTGTATCTTCTTGGAGATTAACCGCGTCCTCAGCAGATGACAGCCTCATGCAGATCCTAGTATCATCCGCAAAGGATGATATGGTGCTGTGGTGTATATCTCTGTTTATGTCTGATATGAGGATAAGGAATAAGATGGGGGCAAGTACTGTGCCTTGTGGAACAGAGCTCTTCACTATGGCAGCCTCCGACTTAACTCTGTTGACCACTACTCTTTATGTTCGATTTGTTAGGAAGTTGAAGATCCATCTCCCCACTTTCCCAGTTATTCCTTTAGCACGTATTTTATGGGCTATTACGCCATGATCGCATTTGTCAAATGCTTTTGCAAAGTCTGTGTATATTACATCTGCATTCTGATTTTCTTCCAGTGCATCCAAGGCCATGTCATAGTGATCCAGTAGTTGCGAGAGGCAGGAGCGACCTGCCCTGAACCCATGTTGGTCATTCAACTGGGCTGTTGCTGTTGGCAGTCTGCTAGCTCTCACAACCTGGGTGATTCGGCACTGAATGGAGCCATCAATAGCACTGTACTCTGATCGAGAACACAAATGATTGAAAGTGTCACCACTGGCATAACCTCCTTGCTTTAAAAGTTCTCATTATCCACTGCATCCTTTTCCTAGTCTCATGACATTTACTTTATTATTTCCAAAGATAAGTCAGCTGACATTACTACACCTAGGTTTTTCACAGGATCCCTTCAAAGTATTAATTGGTCCTCTTGCATTTTGTATACAGTGCCCTTTTGAGATCTTCATTCTTACCGTGTACGAGCAGTTGGAACGTGCCACCACTGACATGCTATTCTCTATTGCCCACTGAAGACCTGCTTATATTTTCTTGCAATTTTTCTGTATCCTCTATCAGAAATAAAGATTTTGATTTTTAAGGTGACTTTCGTGTTTATTTTTGTATCATCCCACATGATAAAAAGCTGTTGTTAATGCTTTTAAGTCTGCTATGGGGTGCCTCAGGGCAGTCCTAGGCCCTCTGCTATTCCTCATCTGTATCTACTATCTTCCTAATGCTTCACAGGAACTTAAACCAATTTATTTGAAGACAACTTCTGTCGTCCCAAATAAAGATCCTGGTGTGCTCAACAATACAGTTAATATTGATTTTGGAAAGATACCTACCTGGATGACAACTAACAAATCCACATTGATGTGACCTCTCAGTGACTGCATTCTCTCTTCTACCACTCTGCACCTCTCCTTCCGACAGTATACAAGTCTCCACACTGTCGCTTGTTTCTTCAGATTGTTTCAGACTATGGAATAGAACTCTACTACAGGCTGAGGAACTGACAACCTCAAATCTACAACTTCAAGAGTGATGGACTGATTACATCATCATCACATCTCTACTACTCCTGCCTACTTTCTGTACTAGACTGAAGAAGCCTACCATGTAGGGGAAACATTTCGGAATAAAGTTACCTAACTGTTGCTCATGTCTCTTACATACCAACCTGTCGGTATTGTATACCATTTTGATATTCACTCTGTCAGACACTGCAACACAATGGCATCTTGGTACAGAAGAGAAAACACCTTAGACAACTTTTTCAAGTGAGAATTGTTGGCTCTGAGAGGGACATGACCTCTCAATGACTACATTCTCTCTTCTACCACTCTGCACCTCTCCTTCCGACAGTATAGTATAAATCTTCACACTGTTGCTTGTTTCTTCAGATTGTTTCAGACTATGAAACAGAACTACTCCAGGCTGAGGAACCGACAACCTCAAATTTACGACTTCAAGGGTGATGGACTGATTATATCGTCTTCACATCTCTACTGTTCCTGCCTTCTTTCTGTACTCGACTGAAAAAGCCTACTGTGTAGGTGAAATATTTCCAAATAAAGTTGCCTAACTGTTGCTCCTGTCTTACCTACCAACAACATTGGAGGAGTTCGTTTCATTTCATCCTTTTTCTATCGCTTTATCACTTAACTTACTTGCTACACTCTTAATGCTACAACCCACAAAACTCGCTTGTGTTTATCTATGATTTCATGCTTTAATTCCATGGACATCACCCACTTTTTCTACTCAGCACTGTCCTTTGCACTTACTTTCTTAGAACCCATGGTTAGAAAAAAGAAATTTGGCAAAATAACTGCACAAAACACAAGTAAAACACAAGAGAAATGCTTCCACAGCGAGGTAAATACGTGCCCTGCTCAGCAGATGTGGCATCGCTGCACCAACTAGTGGCAGCGTTCTGAAGCTCGCTCATTATTATTATAATGGGAAGCACTAAACCCATAGGATTATACAATGCCTGTGGGGGGAGGGGATGGAAGGTATTCAGGCTTAATTTAGGGAACTGGAGAACAGATTCAATTCCCTAGATCAAGTGCCCCACATCAGCATTAAGGAACCTCCCTTGAGGGGGAAACTCACTCGTAACTTGGATTTTGGCTCGTAACTCGGAGCAAAAAAAATTGACCGAGTGACAGCTCATATTTCAAAAAACTCTTATGATGGGGCACTCTTAAGTCAACGTTCCACTGTATTCTAAATGAGGGAGCACTAGCGATTTGAAGAGTATCACCACTGGCATTATTAATCTTGTTTTGAAAATTCTCAAAACCCCACCCCGTCATCCTCCTGGCTGTCGTGATCTTTGTCTTATTATGTTCTTTAAAACAAAGGTCAGCTGACATAATTATTCCCAAGTCTTTTAAGTGTTCCTTTCGTTCTATTTGGTGACCCTGTTGAGTTTTGTGTACAGTGTTACTTTTGAGTTCTTCATTCTTTCCATACCTAAGCAGCTGGAACTTAACATCATTAAATGTCATGTCTTCTACTGGTGAGTAAGTTAAGTGACAGCACGCGACTTGAGCTGGCACATTTGACCATTTCAACGATCTAAAAGGATAGAGTGAAAGAGGCAGTGAAAGTATCAACAGGATTTAAAGCTATAACTAGGCAGCAGAAAGGTCTCATTCATGAAATGGAGAAATTACTGGCAATCTGGTTTGACGACCAGATACAAAAAAGAATGCTGATGAACTTTTTAATAATACAGTGGACCCCCGGTTTACGATCAGCTCCCAATGCGACCAATTATGTAAGTGTATTTATGTAAGTGCGTCTGTATGTGTATGTTTGGGGGTCTGAAATGGACTAATCTAATTCACAATATTCCTTATGGGAACAAATTCAGTCAGTACTGGCACCTGAACATACTTCTGGAATGAAATATCGTAAACTGGGGGTCCACTGTATAAGCAAAGACATGCGGTATCTTTGAGACCTTGAAGGTGTGCAAAGGTGAAGAATCGACGGAAACATTTACGGCAAACCACGGATGGTTTTGTCGAAGATTCAACCTGCACAATCAGAGTATCAGCAGTGAGTGACAGAAAAGTGTATGCAAGGCAAGTGGGAAAAATGCCTAAAATGTTTGGTGAATAATTTTGAATAGTTTGACAAATTAGTGCAATATGGCAAGGGAGAGCTAACTAACAATGATTTAATAGAGTTCGAAGTGCAGCAGCACTTGGAAGAGGAAGAGCAGGAAAGACTGAAAGAGGTACAAAAGATCATCATAAAGGGG